GCGATGTCTGCTAAATAGAGGGGAAGAAATATTTTACTGCAATCAGAGATTTCTCCTGATACAGTAATAAGAGACTTTTTCTAATCGAAATTTTTGGGGTGCCTTACTTTCCGCGTTCTACTTCTCCCCTATAAATAACCCAACAATCATTTTTAGCGGAATTTCAGTGGACCTATATAGGTAGTCTGAGCGGTCCACTGTAGTTTTGCTCATCGGTTATTTAGTGGACCATTAGTTACAGCTGCCAAAAGTGGCTAAACGTTGACTAGCTACTATAAAACTTTTTGGAAAGTTATTAGCTAGCCACTTATAGCGGGTGCCACTACGACGGGTGACAGGGCACCCGGGTGTCCCGTCCGTTGCTTAATTGTTGATAACTGGTCACGTAACATAATAAAATTTGTTTATTTATGAATTTAAAATTCATTTCATTGATTTTTAAACTTTAAAACCATTAATCGTAATAAAACAATTTAACAATGTTAACTTGGTGTATGAAAGAAGATCTTGAAAATCTTGTTGATAAAATTTTCAATAGCTACTATTTCTTTAAAACCATCAGAATTTCTAAAAAAAAAATCAATATAACGTTTGGGAAGTTGTTTGAGCTTCTGATTCAGGCACCTACTTATTATTCCTCAATGATTACAAACATTACTCCTGTGAACAATTTTTTTCTATTACATAAAACAGAACTTATTCAATTTGCTTATTAGTTTATCTCTTGGACAAAAATCATTTGATGCGAGTTGGTGTCACGTGAAGGGGGGTGGGGGAATGCTACTACAACTTGCCCACAAAAAAAAAAAAAAGTCCTGGTTTTTTAAAGTTTGCCCGACTGCCTTATCGACATTTGCTGACTGACTGTCTAAATTTACCGACTTGTCGAAAGGGTCTACATTTGCCGACTAACTAGTCAAATTTGCCAACTAAATAAACGAAAAAATTATTGATGACCCCCCCCCCCCACACACACACACACACAAACACACTCCCCCATCGCGCCGGCCTTGCTTGTCACTCAGTCTCATCAGAAGGCATTATCTCGACTGATGTGCATGTGTTCGATCAACGGCGTGCATCTTTGGCACCCAAAACAGTGGGACAGGCTAGAATTTCTAAAACGTAATTGGGGCTTGAAGTAGAATAAAATTAAGAAATAAGTGAAAAAGAGTATTTTTAAATAAATGAAATTGAATTAAAAGTTTTTATTGACTGATTATAAGAACAACTTAAATTGTTATTTTTGAATGGATACCCAGGATACCCGCTTTTTACTCGACGGGTACCCGAGGTGCTTTTTTATACTTTTCGACTGCTCTATATGTATGTATACATATACACATATGCATTGTATACATGTAAGTACTACGTCTTTCCCTATTTTATTAAAATATTTGGGAAAATTCCGTAAATTTCCGTAAAACAACCGGAAACTTACGATTTCAAGATTTTTAAAATATATTCTGAAATACCTCTAATTATTTGTGTATTTTGGGTTAAAAATTAAGTACATTAAATACAAAATGGTATTAGGATGCTTATAATTTCAAAAAGTTTTAACACCAATAATATATTTTTGGAAAAAAAATATATTTAATAACATATTTTTTTCAATGTTATTTTTGTAGTTATTACTGTTATTTTTGTTGTTATTGTTGTTGTTGCATTGTTGTTATTGTTGTTTATTGTTGTTGTTGCATTGTTGTTAATGTTTACAAATTAAGTTATAATGTTTTGACACTAATAGATTGATTACTGCACAATAAATTTGTATCTTCATTTGTATTATTGTTATTATTTATTTATTTTTATTTAAACTTAATTACATTTGAACAGCTTTGGCTTCACAAGTTATACAAAAAAATGTTCTTTTTGTTCTTTAGAGATCTTTATTTACTCGCTCCTCTTCTCCTGCTTGAGTAGTATATGTACATGAGTCATGTAACATGACATAACAAAGTGGATACATTAAGAGATGAATTTACTGAATATTTTGACTTATAAAATATCAAAGTTTTTGTTTCCTTATTTTTTTTTTTTTAACTATAACCTTAGAATCTTCATTTATTGTAAACATATTAACCAAAATATAGATGGATTTCAAAAGTTCTCTTGGAAAGCTGACAGATACTTGCGCTAATATTCTCATGCCAGAGTGGTATTTTTATTTATAGGATAGTATAAAAATAACAAGTTAATCATTGTTTATGAAAAAATGTTTATTATATTTATAAAAAAAATTTAAATTATATAAATAATTATTATTTATATAATTTGAATTTTTTTTATAAATATAATAAATTTTTTTTCAGGGCATTTATATAAATGCCTGTAACTATATTGTTTTGATCTTTGTTTATAGCCTAATAACATAATTACAATGAGTAACGAAGTATTAGCCTTAATATTTGTTATGGCTGACACAGCCTTTTTAATGTTTCTTTCTGTTTATTTTGTATCTTTTCTAAAGCTTGTCATGTTTTAGTTCTATATATATAAATAAAAAATTTATATAGTTATATATCTATAGTTCCTACATATATCTATAGTTCTATAAATAGTTGATTTTGAAAGAAGAACAAATTACTTTACTTCAATTACTTGTAATTACCACAAAAATCGATTTTAATTGACTTGAATTTTTTTTTTTTTTTTAGTGCAGAATCTTTTTTTTATTTATTTTTTATTTTTTACTGTTATTTTTATTCAATTTTATTTCCTTTGTTTTTTTTTTGTTTTTTTTATTAACTGATTTATTTAAGGATTAGCACAGTGGAGTGTACATATATTAACTAATTTGAGTAGGTATATAATTTAAGGAGTGTATTTACATTGACTGACTTTATCAAGTAAAACATGCACGGATTGTATATACATTGACTGACTTAAATAGATAAAACATGCAAGGAGTGTACATGTACAACTCAGGATTTAGGCTTTGGCAGGCAATCTTTTTATAAAAAAAAAAATTTTCTTCTGGTCTTAATAATAATAAATTTGCTGTACACATACAATGTAATGTGGTGAGTCTAACACCTGTAGATGTTAAAACTTTTACAGCCTTTGTAAAAGTTTTTTTTCATTGTTATATTTTATATTTTTATTTTGTTTTTTTTTTGTTTTCAAAACAATCAAATTTGTTCTCGAAGATATTCACATTGTCAGAATTGATTATCTCTTCTGTTAAATTATTCCATTTGTTAACTATTCTGTTTATGAAGAAGTTAAATCTTATGGTAGAATGGTATAAGTTGTTTTTTGTATTTTCTGTGTATGATCTTTTGTTATTGCATAATTAATTATTCTAGGAGAATAATTCCATTGAACTTTATCCATATTTTTATTTATTTTATAATATTGAATCATATCACCTCTTGCTCTTCTTGTTTTTGGTAATAAGGGTTTCATACAGGCACCGCAAACTATAAGTGTGGACGAACAAACAGTGTATACAATAATTTCATTGTAATTTCATCTAATCAATAAAAAGATCTGACCAAGCTTTCTATTAGCTTTTGCTGCAATTGTGTTGATATTCCTTTCCTATTTGACATCATTCGATATCATAACATCTCTCTCTAACATAGTTTCTTGCATAACTGAAACATTTTGGTGAAACATATCAAGTATACTGCACATAAAATATTTGTATGCATAATTTTGCATTTTTCTTTATTGAAGTTGATTAGTCATTTTTTGCTCCATTAAACTAGCTTACATAAGTCTTACTGTTCAACTGTCTTCGACTGTTTTAATGACTGAAATAATTTTTGTATTGTCTGCACATAATTTGCCATGATTAATTATCTCATGTGTTAAATCATTTATATAGATAACAAATAAAAGTGGTCTAATAACTGATCTTTGTGGTACTCCACTTATTACTTTTTTCCATTTATAGCTAATTACGCTGAGAACTACTCTTTTTGTTCATTTACTCAAAAAACTTTTAAACCAACACAATAAAAGTTATTGAATTCCATATGAATTGCAACTGAGTCGAAAGCTTTAGCAAAGTCATGAAAAGCTATATCTATTGCTAAATTGTCCTCAAGAGCTTGGGTTATTATGTCTAATGTTTCGAGTAAATTTGTGCAACAACTTTTGGATGTTAAAAAACCATGTTGAGATCCTCAGAGTAAACTATTCTTAGTCAAGTGATTTATTAGTGTCTTTTTTTATGCTTTCCATCACTTTCCATCACATACTATCGATGTAAACGATACCGGCCTATAATTTATTACTCTTAGTTTATCTCCTTTTTTAAACAGAGGGGTAATATTTGCACATAACCATAAACCTGAAACAATGCCACTTGAGAATGAGCCATCAATAAATGATTGTGGTTTTCAAGTACTTTAGTAATATTTATTTTCCAGTTGATTTATAACCATTTAGAGCAAACTTCTTACTAACTGTTTCAATATCAAATGTTGGATTTGGACATAAAACATTGCGTTGTTTTGGAAACTCTGGCAGGTTTTCAGCTTCATTATTAAAAACTGTGCTGAAAAAATGTTTAGTTTGTTAGCAATCTCAGATAAATTAGTAGTAACTATTCCATTTTCATTCTCAACAGCTCGAATATAGTCTTTAATTTGATTTTTATTATTTATATATTGGTAAACTATTTTGAGATTCTTCTTTGCATTTTTTGCTATTTTGTGCTCATATTTAACAATTACATCTTTAATAACTTTTTTCGTTTTGTTTTAGATGTATTTATATTTCGCCTTTAGTTCTTGATCTCTGAATTTTGTATTTCTACACTTTATCCATAAAACTTTTTTTTCTTTAATTAATGTAGATAGTTTTTTATTAAACCAAGTTGCTTTTTTCTTTTTGTTTGATTTAGTTGACGGTAAATTACAAGTGTTTTTATAATGTTCTAATCATTTTTTGTAGCACTCCGTTTAAATTTTTGAGTAAGTTTGACCAGTCAATACTATTAAAGTGTTTATTAATTTCATCATAGTTTCCTTTATCATAATTATTATTTTTTTTTTTTTGTTAAACTCTGCTGCAATTTCTTCTAATGAACTCTAATTGTAACTATAGGTTTAAATGTGATGACCCTGTTTAATCAATCCTAATGGTGTATGATGTTCTAGCTTACATATTCACAAATTATTTTTGGTTATTACTAAATCTAAGACATTAGTTTTAGTTTTATCTTCTGATTGAAATGTTGGCTTGTTTATATTTGAAATAAATAACATTCGTCTAAGCAGTCCATTTGAATGTCATTTATTCCAGGACAGTACATGCAAGCACATAGTATTGTCTCATTTCCAACTTCTATGGTACACCATATTTGTTCAATTTATTGGCTTTGTAGCATACCATTTGAAACTTCAAAAGATTTTATTGAGTCTTTGATGTATATGCAAACACCACCACCTTTGCCATAAGTCTCATTGAAACAGCAAACAGTTTAAGGTCAGTTTGCTGACCCTAAACTGTTAGAGCTCAGCATCAGGTCAGCAGAATTAATTTTGTAATTTTCAAAATCCTGATTTAAATGCAGACATTTTTTTAGAAAAAGAAGAAAAATAATGAAGAAACTAAAAAAATATATCAGCATACTGTAAAATATGGTAAATAGGGACAGTTTTAAGGGTTTTTCTAGTACACTGACTAAAAATATAGTTTTATGATTGCATTTTCTTGCGCTAAGTATGGCCATATACTACTCCTATAAAATTTTTCTTTATTTAATAAATAACATTAATAACTATTATTATTATTTTTTTCTGTCTACCCTTATTAACCCCACATGTGAGGTGAATTAAGTTGCCAATTGTTTTAGATATTGTCTTTATTCCACTTCTGATAGAGGTATTATAGGGACAGTGTTAAAGTTTTAAAAAATATGTGTGTGTAACTTGTATAATAAGTCAAAGAAGATGTAAGCTCTGTTCTTTTCTCCCATATGACTAATTACAAAAAATCATAAAATGCAATATATATAAATATATATATATATATATATATATATATATATATATATATATATATATATATATATATATATACATATATATATATATATACATATATATATATATATAATATATATAAAATATATATGTATATATATATGTTTTAACCTTACTGGTATATTTCTTGTTCTCGTTGATCTTCTCACAGGTTGTTCGGTTGTTGTTGGTGGATCGATTGTCCCATGAGAGTTCATTAGTGGAAATGCAAGTGGTTTGGTGGTATTATTGGTTTGATGGGAAATTTCATTGATATATTGTTTTGTGAATTTTTGAGTTGAGTTTCTGATGACACTATAGGAGGATATTAAAAAATATGACCAGAAGTAATAGGGTTTATTGTCGATAAATATTTATCGTAAAAATCTTCAATTTTGCATTGTGTGTCTACGGCTCCCATCTATTATTACTCGATACTGTTGATGCGGCAAGGTTTCAACAATTTGTCCAAAATGGCAAACCTTTTGTAGGCTAGTTTCCATGCTGATTTTGAATTGCTATGCTCAAACATATGGTTAGCGGTCGGTGATATTGGGGTTTTTTAAATTTTAATGAACTATGATATCATTTTATTATAACTCTTTCACCCATATCGGCTAATAGAGACCATTACCTTCTAAATTGTATTGGGTTTGGTAAGTGGTCATTTATAGTTCTCCCAAACAATAATTTGGCTGGAGATTCTCCAATATAGCTGGTGTATTTCTGTGTAACAATATTGCTCTTCCTACTTGATTAGTATTTAATGATTCACATGGGCTAATATTTGTAGTCAATAAATGCTTCATCCATTTTACAACAGCATCTACTCTGCCGTTGCTTTGTGGGTAATAGGAGGAAGACAATTGATACTTTACACCCCAATTATTTAAAAAGGATTTTATCTTGTAAGAGCTTTTTTTTTAAAGTTTTATCCTACTCATAGCGCCTTGTATAATAAGTTGAAACTTAGTTTATAAACTTTGTTCTTTTCTCCAATAAAACTAATTACAATAAATTGTAAAATGCAATACAATTAATAACATCGAAGTAATTAGTTTTTCTGTAAAGTATCATCAATCCTCCCATCAATCCTCCTATTAATAATTTCAGGCTTTTTAAACAATATTTGAGCATTTGCCTCTTTATCTCAGTTTTCCCTTCACTTTTGCCCAATAAGATTTAAGAGAGGGAGAAGTTGTTTTTCCAACCATTATTTCATACATAGATCTAATATCAAAGTTTGATATGTTACAATAGGAGGGTTTTAAAGTCAAAAATCCAAACAGCCTGCCATACAAGGAACTTGTGAATAAAATTTTCTCTGATTTCACTGGATCTGACTAAAATGTACTTAAATTTGTCAGGTTTGTAAGGTTTTGACTAATAATAGTATTGGTTATCTGGAAATATCAAGTGACCTTTTTTACAGTAAGTTTCTTGTTGTCTTCTAAAATACACCTCTTTTGTTCCCATCTAGTTTTAGCAAGTTTTTAATTTATTTTTTTTGTTCTATATCTTTTTCCATCAAATGACCTTTTTAGTATTTTTTTTAAATAAGTTTTCAGATTTTCTTTTTCATTACTTTTTGAATAAAAGGTGTTCTGCATTGTTGCATCTGCTTTGTTGCATCTGCATTGTTGCATCTGCTTTGTTGCATCTGCATTGTTGCATCTGCTTTGTTGCATCTGCATTGTTGCATCTGCTTGTTGCAAAAAAGTTTGATTTTGTTGAATCAAGTCAACTGTTCATTTCGTCTTTTTTTTTTGCCTGTTTTCTGTTTATAGCTTTCTTAGAAAAACAAAGTGATTAAAAATACACCCTTTATCATTATTTGGAATGAAACTAAAATTAAATTCAAGTTTTAAAAGTTGTTACTCATGTATATGGTATTAACAAAATAGGAATTGTCACCATTCTTTGTTTTTCCTCAACTTAGAAAAACAAAGTGAGACCCATCCCTGTATTTTGCAGAATGCAGGAATGCTCTAAGACTTTCTTCGGAGTGCAAGACTTGATCAACTTGGTCAAGAAAAACCCCATTCATCCTATGTTTTTTCTGAAAACTTTAAATTAATCAAAATATATTAGTTAACATTTTTTTTTTTTTTGTATGTATATTGGTGCTCCCAGAAGTCCTTACAGTCTTATCATAGAGCACCGCGGGAGAGCATTTAACAGGAAGCTCACGCCTCCTTCCGTACCAATGTCGCTTGTTGGGCTAGAGCTGGCGTCGAACCTTGGAACTCTGGGTTCTGAGCCAGAACTCTAACCACTGCGCCACGACTGCTTTTAACATTAGGTTTGTAACACAGCTGCTCTTTAACATTAGGTTTTATGTTCTGTAATTTCTCACAGTTTCATCAAGTTCTTTATGCAACAATTTGGTAGAGTTTCACAATTACACCTTCAGTGCTTTTGTCTGTTCTGAAAAAAAAAATTTTCATACAAACTTTTTTTCAAATTTTCGGTTTATTTTTCAATATAATTTACTGCTATAGCCAAATTAAAATGTTACCAGTTATATGGGTCTGAAGCTTAATAGAAAAAAAAGTCTATCAGCTGTCTCTGTCACTTTGTAGACATCCGAAAAACTTTTCTGGTTTCTATCCCTATTCACCCTATTTTACATTAGTAATTATCTTTCATATGTAAATACTGCCTGCTCAACCCCAAATCCTCTGTTGATGTATGCATTTGGCATACTAAAATAGCCATCAATTGAGGCCTCACCTTAGTTGATGGCTAATTTAGTATGCCAAATAAAAATGATTATAAATTGTTTTATGTGCTAAATCATCATTTTTTAAGACTTTTATTGAGAAAAGATTTTATACCTATGATATAAACAGTTGATATGTACACTCAATGTGTCTTCAAATAATTCAGTTGGTCAATATATACTCAAATCCACCTAAAAATAAGAAACAAAAGTTCTTTTTTTTCCCTTAAGTTTCTATTTTGTGGTTTTTAAAAAAACAGTTAAATTTTATGAAAAATTATTTTATGATGTATTGCTGATGTATGTGCAACAAAGTGTTACACAGTTTGAATGTGCAACAAAATGTTACACAGTTTTTATGTGCAACAAAGTGTTACACAGTTTGTATGTGCAACAAAGTGTTACACAGTTTGTACTTAATACTATATCTTAATGGCTGCAATAACTTTTTTCTAAAACTACAAAAATGGATGTTTATTTTCTGTTTCCCAGACATTAAATTTCAATATAATTATCACATGCAATACATAAGATAAAGTTGATAGTAAATAGGTTTTAAATATTGAGACTTTAAATTAGTATTTTTTTAAAAGTATATATTGAACAAAAAATTACATATATATTTAAGTTTCTTTAACTTTCTCAGATAATTAATTTATCAGATTTAGAATGCAATTACACAAACTCAGGGGACGGATGTCGTCGGTTAAGCAAGGTATAGTAAAAATGTATTTATAAATTTTAACTATGTTATAAAAAGATTTGTACTAAGGATGTTTTAGGTTGAATCTCACACCTGCAACAGATTGGAGTTTACAGTGCGTTGCAAATTTTAACTCTTTGAAAACTTTAAAGTTTTTTCTCAATTTTAATTCAGTTATTTACTGCAAACAACTATTGCAAAATTGTTGACATGCTTATATTAATGAATGGCAATGCTCCCACTCTTTTTTATTCCTTGAATTATTGTTTACTACTGACCTTTTATGGAAACCATATATACAATTGATTGCTAAGTTAGCGTCTTAGGTTGAGGTTGCTTCTCTTTATCGTGTTTGCCATTTTTCTACCCATAATTCCATTCTCTTCCTCTACAAATCTCTTATTTGTCCCTGTATGGAATACTGTTGTCATATTTGGGCTGTTTCTTCTAATAATGCTCTTTTTCTTCTAGACAAGGTCCAAAAACACTTTGTAAACATAGTTGGATCTGCTCTATTTGCTCAGCTTGAGCCTCTTTTCCATTGTCCTAAAGTCTCTTGCATCTCTTTCTCTTTTCTGCAAATACTGTCATGGTTGCTGCTTAAAAGAGTTATCATCTCTACTTCCATTAACTAAAACTCGTTCTCACTTGACTCGTCATTTAGTAAAGTCTTATTCTATTACTGTATTTGTTGCTCTAAAAACTTTTATCTAGTCTCATACAACCTACAACTTTTCAAGTCATCTGTCAACCATTCCTTACTCTATTCTTTTTTCTCTAGTAAATCCCAACTTAATAGTGTTTTCTTGCAGCCTTGTTGAGAGTAAATCAGAATTTAAAAAAAATTTATGAAAATTTAAATCAGTCATTGCAGATGACACTGTATACCAGTATGCTACCTGCATTCAACCTAGGGTAGAACTAAAAGTACAGAATTCTTTACAATATTCTTGGGTAGAACTAAAAGTACAAAGTTCTTTACAATATTCTTGGGTAGAACTAAAAGTACAAAATTCTTTACAATACTCTTGGGTAGAACTAAAAGTGCAATATTCTTTACAATATTCTTGGATAGAACTAAAGTACAAAGTTCTTTACAATATTCTTGGGTAGAACTAAAAGTACAAAATATTGTGATTCTAATTCATCGTTCTATTATTACTGTTTTAAATTGTTATTGTTTTTTATTTCAACATTTTTAACAGTAAGTTTTCTTTACAACAGCTGGTTCTGAACATTACAGATGAAACCAAAAACTCATTAGCAAATATTTTTGGATTGAAAAGTTTGACTTCTGCTTTGGAAAATTCTGCAGAAATGTTAGATGGAGTTAAGGCTTTTGCATAAGCTTTGCTTGTAACTGCATCTATATTTTATATGGCCATTGTTGTTGGATTAAATACAGCTCGTACACTGACCAATTTTATTGCTGCAGCTTGTGGCAACAATGTGGTGAAAATGGCAGTATAGCCACTTTTTTTTGGTAGTAGGAAAAAATTACCCCAGAAAATATCCTCCTGAAAAAAATCCCTCTAAAAAAAAGTCCGCCCAAAAAAAAACCTCCACGATTTTTTTTACAGTGCATAAAATAAACTATATATCAATATATATATATTTTTTTAATTATTTACCTCACCAAGGCCCGTGGGTCGGGCCTCCTCGACTGTAGTCGGTCCACCACTACAGTCGAGGAGGCTACCCATTTTTTTTTTATTGTTGTAAATCGTGGTACAACCCTCTTTCAACTCTTTAACTCCTAAACACGAACCTTGACAAGCAAGGCTGCTGCGCAGAGAAATTAAGTTGAGCGCGGTACTTCCAGGGACATGGTGGGAGTCAAACTCTGAACCTCTCGCTTACAAAGCGAGCCCTCTTACCACTACACCACTACCACATATATAATAGTTATATACCACATATATAATATAAATATTTTATACATACATATTGTAATACAAACATAACCTTAATCCACCACTTTTCATAAATCGACTGACAAATAGGTAGTACATACAAGGAATGTACATATATTGACAGATAAATAAGTAGAACATGCCGCTACATTAACCTAGGCTTTTGGTAGGCAATTTATCAATTTCAAAACTTTTTAGCCCTAAATGTATATACATACATACATACATACATACATATACAAATAGGTAGAACATGCAAGGAGTGCCGCTACATTGACTGAGGGTTTTGGTTTGGGTAGACAATCTATCAATTTCAAAACAATATTTTTTTGAAAATTTTTCTCAGAGGGATTTTTTCCAGGGGGATTTTTTCCAGGGTTTTTTCCGAGAATCCTTTTTTTTTTTTTCTAAATCTAGATACACAATTGAAACATGGTTGCGGTTGTCACATCCATGTTTAAAAGCAGTTGTTTGTGCATAACTTAAAAGCAGTTGTTTGAGCATAAATCAAAAGCAGTTGTTTAAGCATAACTTAAAAGCAGTTGTTTGATCATAACTTAAACACATAGAAAGAGTAACAGCAAATTCGTATTCCAGCTTTCATGTTGCTTTTATTAACAGCTCATGGTGAAGTTTTGAAATATTCTGATAAAAATATTCCTTTGTTTATAAAATTTTGCATGATAACAAAGTTAGGTTTACAGATTTGGGTTTAATTGATTCCTAACATCTTTTCACACATACGCTTGCACACAAACACATACACTAACCCACACAAACACACACAAGGAATATAATAATATTTTTAAAAATATTTTTCTTTTTTTAGGTAGTAATTCCAGAACTGATTATGGTGTTACTGTTATGCATTGTGTTGGTCTTTTTCAGCTGTTTTGGAGCACTTATTTACATATTACCCATGTTTGTTTGGTTATTATATAGGTTATACTGCTTTTTCTATTTTTTCATATTTCATTTTTTATGTTTTTTATATATCATTTTTAAATTATAGAGCCTTAATAAGTAAATAGTGTTTGATGTGATAAGAAGGTGGTTTATGGAGTAATAAGAAGAAAATAGCCTATACAGCAATAAAAAGAAGATAGTGTATGGAGTAATGAGAAGAAGGTAGTGTATGGAGTGATGAGAAGAAAGTAGTGTATAGAGTAATAAGAAGAGAGTGTTTGTAGTAATAATGAGAAATTAGTGTATGGAGTATTAATAAGAAGGTAGTGTATGGATTAATAAGAAGAAGGTAGTGTATGGAGTAGTAAGAAAGAGTATGGATTAATAATTCTTCCATTAAAAGATTTACTTATGCATGTTTAGCAAGTCATATTGTAGCCATGCTCTAAGATAATAATAATTGAATTGCACATGATTTTAATGTATATAGAGCATATAAGATATTTTACTTTTGGTTAATAACTACACAATCGCCCACACTACATCTGATCATTTAGTGTGTTGTCTAATTATTCGTCAATTGTCTAGAATAACATGATTTTAACAAAAATTAAAAAAGTTGTCTTATTTATTAGAATATATATATATATATATATATATATATATATATATATATATATATATATATATATAAATACATACATATATGTATACATATATGTATACATATATGTATATATATACATATATATATATATACATATATGTATACATATATGTATGTATATATTGCCGCCATTGTCCAGGCAATTTTACTAGTATACATATCTACTATAGTGTATATACATCAGCAATTCCTTACTCATTTTGCTTGTCTTCATCACTTTTTCAGAAAAAGAAGGCTTAAAGGTTTTTTCAGAAAAAGAAAAAAATAACAAAGAATGAAAAGATTACTTCCCCATCCCAAACTCTTGATTGATGTAGCTGCACTCCTTTGCAGCAACAAGCTATAAGATAGACAATGCATGCACTAACTATTAAACAAACAACTAGAAATTCTTTATTTCTTAAGAAACAATGTCTAACTATTAATACAATTTCACTTTCTTTTCATGTGGCCTCTTTTGTCATGATTTTTGAATAATAGTGGATTAATAAGTTCAAGTTTTAATTTTCAAAAAATCTTTTCAAAAAATTTTATTATTTCAATCTTTATATACAAGAGTTGTCAGATTAATTGCATTTTTCACTTTTCAACAAATAAAGAATTAGTTGCTATAGTTTTCTCTTTTTAACAAATAAAGAACTAATTGCTACATTTTTCACTTTTTTTACTAATAAAAAACTAATTGCTACATTTTTCATTTTTTTACATATAAAGAATTAATTCCTATATTTTTCACTTTTTAACAAATAAAGAATTATTTGCTACATTTTTCATTTTTTTACATATAAAGAATTAATTCCTATATTTTTCACTTTTTAACAAATAAAGAATTATTTGCTACATTTTTCACTTTTTTACATATAAAGAATTAATTCCTATATTTTTCACTCTTTAACAAATATTATTCTCTGTTTAAACTCAGACTAAACTAGGACAACAAATTCAGTATGCAGTCTCACAAAAAATGTGTTTAGTGTTTTAACAAAATTTTTGTTTTTGTGTATGTTTGTTTTTGGGTATGTTTGTTTAATATATTATTGTTAATTATGATAATAATCTTAACAGTAATATTCATAGTAATAATAATAACAATAAAATGATAATAATAATAATAATAACAATAATAATAATAATAATAATAATAATAATAATAATAATAATAATAATAATAGTAATAATAATAATAGCAATAATAACAACAACAATATTAATAATAGTAATAATTTGATATTTATGATATCACTTTAACAATGTAAGTTCTATAAAGAAATAAAGTTAAATAAAATTGATTATTATTTAAAATCTTTTTTATTACCTAGAATATTGTCGAAGCCTCGAAACCACATATCTTTTTATGATCCTGCTGAAATCCACAACAATAATTTGTTAAATTACTACCTTAAAGAATCCATTGTGAAATTGCTTTATTATTTAGTTGGATTTTTCATCTTCTTATACAGGTTTTTTTTTTGACCTTTTGAATTATGTAACTATGTAGTTAAACTTTTTAATTAGGTGATATGTAGAATTTAAATCTTTTTGTTTGTTTGTTTATAATGAATATTCTGTGAGTATTTATAATTTATATCAGTAATACTTTTTTTTTAATCAATATATATTTGTTTGTTTAAAATATTAAAATGTTGTTTTACAGTTTTATTTTTTTTATAGCTTGATATCAACTCTTGTGCCAGATGAGGCTGAAAAACAGGATTTTGTGACCCAAGATATTTTTCGATAGACAAATGAATATTTTTTTTGTTTAAATTGTAAATTTTTCTTTTAAAAGTTGAAGTTTTTCTTTTATTTTGTATAAATTTTTGTTTTATTTTTGAAATTTTAGCTATTATTAATTTGAATTTTGAGTTTTAGCTTCTTTTTTTTTATTCTTAATACTGTGCATTAATTTTTTTTTAAATTATTTGTTTTTATTTACAGCCCAAATAAATAGCAATTTTTTTAATTTATTTTTAGATGTTTTAGAAATATTTAAACCATACTTATATTATTTGGTTTACTCTTATGATGTCATTTTGACATCTAACTTGATGTATATTATTATGCTATGAAATATATATCTTACTATGAAACATGATCTAACCTAGTTGATGTTGATTATCTTGCTGTGAAATGTATTATCTTGCTATGAAATATATGTCATCTAACCTAGTTAATGTCGATTATCTTGCTATGAAATATATTATCTTGCTATGAAATATATGTCATCTAACCTAGTTAATGTTGATTATCTTGCTATGAAACATATGTCAAAATGTTGAAGATGGCATTTTCAAGTTTTCTTTTGAAAAATGTGAATAGAACAATAGGATTATCAAGACAACAAGTTTTACTTTACAGCACATCTATAGATGTTGCAGATGAGCTTCATTTGGATTTTTTAGATAATCAACATAAAGGTAAGACCTTATAAGTTGTTTATTTAATGATGAGCATGATCAATGTCCATCATTAAATAAACAATTAAAGTTTGGTTAAATCATTGATTAAACTTGATTAGTTGCTAGCAAAATATATTATGCAATTGATTAGTTGTTAACAATATATTATGCAATAGATTAGTTGTAAACAAGGTATTATGCAGTTGTTTAGTTGCTAGCAATATATTATGCAATTAATTAGTTCTAGCAATATATTACACAGTTAATTAGTTGTTAGCAAGGTATTATGCAATGGCTTAGTTGCTTGCAATATATTATGCAATTGATTAGTTGTTAGCAATATATTATGCAATTGAATAGTTGTTAGCAATGTATTACACAATTAATTAGTTGCTAGTAAGATATTATGCAATTGCTTAGTTGCTAGTAATATATTATGCAATTGATTAGTTGTTAGCAATATATTATGCTATTGATTAGATTTTAGCAATATGTTATGCCATTGATTAGTTCTAGCTATATATTATGCAGTTAATTAGTTGTATTTATTGCAAGGTATTATGCAATTATTTAGTTGCTAGCAATATATTATGCAATTGATAAGTTGTTAGCAAGGTATTATGCAATTGTTTAGTTGCTAGCAGTATATTCTGCATTTGATTAGTTGTTAGCATTATATTATGCAGTTGATTAGTTGCTAGCAAGGTACTATGCAATTGATCAGGTGCTAGCAAGGTTTTATGAAAAAACTAGTACAAATAAAAATAGTAATAAAAAAGTATTAATATTTAACATAAAAATTTCTAAATTAAAGAAACAAAAGAGCATTTGGCAATTATATTTGTAAATGAGGGAGATGAACTTATTTACTTGCAACATGAAACTTGTTGATACTAGATAATTACTATTCAAAAAATATTTTGACTACTTTGAAGTGCAGGTTAAATACATGTAGAATATTTAGTATTATTTTCGTGTCAAGAAACATGTTAAGTGTGGTACTATCAGGGGTATAGTGGAGATTGAACTCTAATTTTTGTTTACAAAAAAGTGCTTCTCCACTACATCACCTACCACATGGTACCACATAAAACCTGGAACAATATACTGTTGATTTATGGTTATTTTAATATAGGCTTCAGGATAAGTTTGATAAGATAAGTTTTGATCAACCAAAAATAAATTTATCTTGAATAGTATTTTATTATTGTATAGCATATAAAATTTACATGTAAGCAATGAACATTTTTAAGCATTTAATTCACAGCTGATATTTGAGTGACTTTTACCAGAAAAAGCCTCTTAGTGAATCTGGTTCTTCAGTAATTGTGTGCTTTTAAACATGAATTTTCTATTTATTTGTTAATATATAGTTATATAGTACATTAGTTAATATTGCATATACAACAGTACATTGGTAAATATTAAATATACAATAGTACATTAGTTGTACCATAGTGTATTCATTACATATATTATAGTATCTGCACAGTTACAATGACATTATATCTTTTAGCAAATTTGTTTATGTATTATAAAATATATATAGTCAAGGAGGTTGATCAGTTAAATTACTTAGCAATTAGATTGGTCAATAGCTGTATTTCATTAGGAAGTGATATTGAAGTGTGAAGCATTGGTTTTTCAAAATTTTAAAACAGTAATGTACATGCTAATATATAGATAAAACGAATGTAGTACTTTCCAATAAACTGATCAAATATTTTATTAGGCTTACACAATCATAATTTTTACATACTACTGTTGTTATTACAAGAGAGAAAGTGAGAACTGTATTGTTTATTATAGAGAATTCATAACTGTATTATTAATTATAGTTAAAGTTATTCTTTATATCAATAATCATTAATTCTAAGTAATACATTAACAAACTTGATAATTCTAAGTAATACATTAAAACTTAATTGTAAATTGGAATTTAAGTCTAATTGAGCAACTGACTTACTTGTCAAGATTTCTAAGAACCCTTTATTTGTTTAAAACAAATTTTTTGAAAATGAAAAACAAGTTATACAAACTATATATAGTGTATATAAATAAATATGTTGTTATATTGTATAAAAATGTGTTATTAAAAAAAAAAAAAAAAGTTTAAAAGTTATTTTTTTAAATTTTGGTAGGTGTTGCTGTAATATCAATTAATAGGCCAGAATCAAAAAACTCTTTAGGAAAAAATCTATTGAAACTTGTAAGTAACTATACATTGTTTATATTTTGCATAATTTGTTTATTATTTTGATTTTAAAAAAAGTATCAATTGAGACAAAATATTTTTTTGATATGCATATTTGCCTTTTTGTAAATTATATTGCAAAATATTGTTATCAAAATGAATATAATCATACACCTGACCTTGGTCAAGTCAGGTGTATGGTCTTCATGATTGTCCTGCTACTGGTAACATGTAACCCAGTGCAACCTGTTCCATGTCCTGCTGTGTGTGTCTCTTATATAGTTTAAGGTGTCTTAGTTACTGTTTTAGCCCACCTGTAATCAACTTTAAATGTATGTTTGTGTTCTATCCAAACCTCTCGCGAGGTGTTGACTCACCCGTAAGTTACAATATATATGTATGTGTTCTGTTTAAATGTTCTGTTTAAATGTTTAAATCTGTTTTAATGCAGTGTGAGCTCATTAACTAACTAGACACTTCAACTATTAAACATACACTCACCCTTATCTCTTGTATTTGTTAGGTGTAATATTTTTCCTAATGCATTTCCAAAATATCATGTTTGATTTTATAAGGTGCTGGTTGCAGGAAGTAGCTCCTTTTAATTACTCCAGGTCAGGTCAGGTTAAGGATCATCACAATCACCCTGCTACTGATATTATGTAACCCAGTACTACCTGCCCCATGCCCTGTTGCCTTTTGTGCTTTTTTAGGCAAATGCTAGGAGAAACAATCTCAGACTTAAAATTTCCCTGCCTTGTGGCTCTTGGTTAAATAAAGGCTAGAAATGGTATCTCGATAAAAATACTCATCTTGGCCAGATGTTAACTGCATCCAGCTGCTGTCTTGTGCCTCTAAAGTCTTTGCCTCCTAGGCAAAGACTTTAGAGGTTTGCAGAATAATTCTGTTGACCAACCTTGAACCGTGCACAAGAGGGTGAAATCGATATGCTTAAGAGCGTTAAGATTTTCACCCTCTTGTATAGCTGTTATTCTAATCCTAATCATTTTTTTCATCTTTTTCAAAAGAACAACTTTCTCAAGAATAAACAGCTATTTATTATTGCAAGAAATCGATGTAAAAAGATGCTGTCAGATGCTAAGCTCCATTATTCTCAGTTCACTAAATCTTGTATCTAATCTCAGAAATTAGGTTCTAGAGACTTTTGGAAAATCTTGAACAGCGTTGTTAGCAAAGGAAGGTCTAACATTCCATCTCTCATTCATGGGACTGATCTTATTACCTCTCCCAAGGTAATAAGATCAATCCCATGAATGAGAGATGGAATGTTAGTTTTTCCTTTGTTAACATTCTATTTGCAAAAAACTTTTCTTCTAATTCGGCTTTTGAAACTTATTGCCATTTTCTTACTTCCATTCGAATTAAAAAGGTTAACCCATTGTTAGACATTAAAATCACTCCAGCTTCCGTTGCTAAATTCATATCTCGAGTAAACTCTTTCACAGCTTGTGGTTCAGACAACATTCCTGTCACAGTTTTATGAAATTATTCTCCAGAACTCTCTTCAATTTTCTCTAAACTACTTAATAAGTGCTGGTGAACATTCTGACCTCTCAAATTATCATCCAATCAATCTTCTTTCTGTTTTCAGCAAAATATTTGAGTCTTTGATCAACAAATTTCTTTCATCCCATCTTTAGTATAATAACTTGCTGTCAGACAATCAATATGGTTTTTTATACTCTCACTCTACAGCTGACTTGCTAACTGCTGTGACTGAAAATTTTTATTGTGCATTAGATGGAGGCGAAGAGGCTAGGGCTATTGCTTTTAACATATCTAAGGCTTTCAACAAAGTTTCGCATGTTGGTCTTTTCCATAAGTTTGTTTCAAATGGTGTATCTGGGAAAGTTTTTGAGATTATCAAATTGTTTCTTTCTTACCGCTTTATTAAAGTTATTCTTGAAGGCCAACACTCTTTTTTATTTCCAGTAACTTCTGGAGTACCTTAAGGTTCTATCCTTTGTCTTATTTTATTTCTTATCTACCCAAGATCTACCCAACAACAGGCTTGGACAGAAATAGCGTGCGATCGAGCGCTATTGCTGACCATGATAATGATTTTATTTTTTGACAACTTGACCACGGTTGTTTAATAAACAATGTTTATATGTTTTGATGAGTTAAAAATTTTACAAATGTTCTGAATGTAGAAACGCTAATCTAAACTTAAACTAGGAAAAAAAAACTAACGAAAAAAAAATTCTTTATGAAAAAAGAAAGGAAAAACATTCATAACGAAAAAGAAATTATATAAGCACTAAAATGAAAATAAAAACTTAAACTCGAAGCAAAACTTTTTGTTACATTTTTAATTACGTATGAAATAAACATTATTAAAGCTTATCTTTTTAAGCGTTATTAAAGTTACACAAAACGTTTTTAAATTAAGTAACAAATTACTACTTATGATTGGTTTAATAAAAGAACAAATTTTATTAGATTTATTAAAAAGTGCTTTTTAATTTAATTTTAATTTGAGTATTCAACTTTATTAATAAGAGCTTCGCGTAACGAATTTAAAAATTATTATAAAAAGTTTAATCTCATTCATTTCTAATGAAATTGAAAATAAAAAATTAAAAAAATTGTTTACAAAAAATAAAATGTTTATTTAAAACATTTTAAAAAATCGTAAGTTTAATCATAAAAGTTAATCGTATGAACATTACAAAATGCTTTAAAACTTTTTCATTAAATCAACAAAGTACATGCTTATATAAGTAAATAAAGTTATTTTATATTCTTGTGTAATTCACATAAAGTGTGTAAAAGTTAGTAGTCACAAAAGCTTTTGAACTTATTTACAAATTAAAGTAACAAAAAAATTCTTTCTAAAAATAATGGTTTAAAAATATTTTAGGAAGACATAAGAAAATAGTTTCTAACGCTTAAATTTATCATAAAAATAAATAAAAAAAACTTATTTATAACGTTTTTTATTAATTTACACAAGCGTTTATGTAAACAATAACTATAATTAATTTTATGGTTTTATTTAAAGCCTTTGCATAAAATAAAAAACTTTAGAAAAGATCAACGATTAAAAGATATTTATAATGTAACAATTTTTTTATTGCATTCAAGTTGTTAAAACATCAAAATAGCCGTGGTCAAGTTGTAAAGAAATAAAAATATTAGCGTGGTCAATTACAGAGTGCGATCGCACGCCATTCCTATCCAAGCCTGCAACAATCTTACATCCAAGTTAAATTAATTATCTACCGAACAATTAAAGATCTATCCAACAATCTTACATCCAAAGTAGCTCTTTTTGCTAATGATTCAACTTTATACTCCTGTCATGACAAAAAGTCTTTTTTTTTCGATCGCTTAGAACAGCAGCCAATCTTGATTCTGATCTCACTTCTGTATTAGATTGGGGCTCACATTGACTTGTAAATTTTAACTCCAACAAAACTCAGTTATTTACTGCAAACAACTATCGCAATACTGGTGACATTTCTATATTAATGAATGACAACCCTCTGATTGAGTCCTCTTCTTTATGTCTTCTTGGATTATTATTTACCACTGACCTTTCATGGAAACCATATATACAATCGATTGCTAAATTAGTATCTGCTAAGGCTGCTTCTCTTTATCATGCGCACCATTTTCTCTCTCCTGATTCAATTATCTACTTCTGTAAATGTCTTTTATATATATATATATATATATATATATATATATATATATATATATATATATATATATATATATATATATATATATATATATATATATATATATATATCCTTATAGTGTAGTCGAAAGAGTCTTTTAATGTAAAAAAAGTCTCTTTCGACTACAATTTTAATTACCTTGTCTCTTAAGCTGTATTTGATTGTCTGTATAGAATACTGTTGTCATATTTGGGCTGGTTCTTCTGATGATGCCCTTTCTCTTCTAGACAAGGTCCAAAAATGTGTTGTAAATCTAGTTGGACCCAGTCTGTCTACTAAGCTTGACCCTCTTTCATATCGTTGTAAAAATGCATCTCTTTCTCTTTTCTACAAATACTATCATGGTTGCTGCTCAAAGGAGCCATTATCTCTAGTTCCATCAACTAAAACTCATTCTCACTTGACTCATCATTCATCAAAGTCTCATTCTTTTACTGTATTTATCCCCGCATGCTTCAAAAACTTTTATTGGTCTAGTTTTTTTCCCCGCACTTTAACCCTTTGGAACTCTCTCCCATTTTCATAATTTCCAGACTTATACAACCTTCAACTTTTCAAGTCTTCTGTTATCCGTTTTTTTTGCTCTATAAGTCTATTATTTTTTTCTAGTAACTCCCAACTTAATAGAGGTTGCTTGCAGCCTTGTTGAGAGTGAATCAGAATTAAAAAACAAGTAAGTGAATATTATAATAAAATCTATTGTTGCAAGAACCAATATGCAATATTCCAGGAATTAAACAGACCTGTAGCATGTATTTTTTGTGTGTTTGAAATAGTAAGTTCATGTAAAATTGAGCTGAAATACAAAGCATTCTTATTTGACATAAGAATAAAATGTACATATATATATATATATATATATATATATATATATATATATATATATATATATATATATATATCCTTATAGTGTAGTCGAAAGAGTCTTTTAATGTAAAAAAAGTCTCTTTCGACTACAATTCTAATTACCTTGTCTCTTAAGCTGTATTTGATTGTCGTCGAAAAGTCAAAGCAATTAAACTAATGCGGAAGTACATTAAATTTTATTGTTTTTTAAAAAATTTTTAAAAAACCGCAATAATAACAACTAGAAAGTTTTTTTTAATTAGTGGTGTTTTTGTTTTTGTTTTATTAAAAAACATTTTTAAAACATGCGTAAATGTTGCTACAATGACTATTATATAGCCTGCTGCTACAAGGGAGTGTTTCTACATCGACTATCTTATAGCCTGACTCGCAACGGAGTGCTGCTACATTGACTGACAAATAGCCTGACTCGCAAGGGAGTGCTGCCACAATGACTGACAA